TCCCGAGGAGGGGCCGCCATGGGGCGGCCAGCGCAGGTGGGGCCGCGGAAGTGTGCGAAAGCGTTCCCGTGGCCCTGCCAATATGCGACGAGTGTGGAACACCATGGGGTTTTAGTCGGTGCGAGTCCGACATAACCCGTCCTTGCCCCCGCGAGGCGGGTATGCGTAGGCATTTCCCCATGTAAAAAAAAAAAAAAAAAAAAAAAAAAAAAAAAAAAAAAAAAAAAGGTTAGGTTAGGTTAGGTTAGGTTAGGTTAGGTTAGGTTAGGTTAGGTTCCCCCCCGAACGGGTTCCCGCCTTGTCGTGGCGGGGGGGCTTAGTAGCCGTGGCTTGGTCAACCACGGTGAACGAAGAGGAACCCCTTGGCTGGCCCGAGGTGTAGGGCCGGCCCGAGGTGGCCACTCCGAGTGGGCTTGGGAAGCCCACTTCGGATGTGTGTCGGGGGGCTGCGGTGAGAGGGGAGTCCGCACCCTCTACCGCTGCAGCCGAGGTGGAGTCGCGGAGGAAGAGGAGTGTTGGTATGGCGATGCGCCACTCGCCCTATCCTCCGCGACTCAGGCGGGGCCGCACCGTCGATTGATGCGGTGGTGGTGGGGCTGCGGTGGGAGAGGAGTGTCGGTATTGCGAGGCGCCGCTCTCCCTACCCTCCGCAGCCGAATCTTGGTTGGCGGCGGAGCCATAGACCAGATCCGCCGCTGGGGCCGGGAAGGCCGGTGCTTCTGAGTGCTAGTTTTTCCTGGCCCCATGGCCTTCGCGCATCGGATACGGGGGCGTCCGTTGCGCATGTTTAGTTGGAGGCCGAGGAGGAGGGCGCGCCATGTGTTCTGGTGCGCCTTACCTGAGAGGGAGATGGGGGAGGAGTAGTCCTCTCCCGAGGAGGGGCCGCCATGGGGCGGCCAGCGCAGGTGGGGCCGCGGATGTGTGCGAAAGCGTTCCCGTGGCCCTGCCAATATGCGACGAGGGTGGAACACCATGGGGTTTTAGTCGGTGCGAGTCCGACATAACCCGTCCTTGCCCCCGCGAGGCGGGTATGCGTAGGCATTTCCCCATGTAAAAAAAAAAAAAAAAAAAAAGGTTAGGTTAGGTTAGGTTAGGTTAGGTTAGGTTAGGTTAGGTTTTTTTTTTTTTTTTTTTTTTTTTTTTTGTGGTTGTTTTTATCCAATTTGAAATTGCTAACGGTATACAATTTCAAAGTGGAGAAGCCTGTGTGATTTGTCTTTGACACCTAGACTTTTATATTAGAATTCTAGCTGCTGGAATTGGGTTTGTTAAATTCTTTTAACGAATTAATTATACAATGAATGAGTTTTGTAAAGGAGGCAGTTGTACTTTCTTTGGATATTACTTCTATAATATTATACGGATCTACTTTAAACATACTTGATATTAGTTCATGATTCTGTCTTATTGTTCCGTATTTTGGGCATTTTTTAATAAGATGTTCTATTGATTGTATCGAGGAATTGTCACAAGGGCAGCGATCGTTACTTACTATTTTGAATCTGTATAAATATTCTTTATGAAAGCCATGATTTGTAAAGATTTGAGTTAATTGAAAATTGGGTTTAAGACACTTGATTGTTTTTTGTAAAATTTCAAATGTGGGACACCATCTCTTTGTATGTCTGCAATTGTTTATTTCCATATATAAGTCATTTGCGGCTTGTTGACTAATTGTTTGACATTTCGTCTTTATATAACTTAGGGGAAACATTGAATATACTATTTTGTTGTGACTCATTGCTGCAGATTTTGCTGCTACGTCTGCTTCTTCATTTCCTATGATGCCCGCATGTCCTTTTACCCAAACGAAATCTACGGCGTAATTAAGAGATTTAGCTTTATATATTGTATCTTGAATTTCGTTTGCAAGTCTGTTTCTACTGTATCGATTATTTAGCTCTATTAATCCCGATTGACTGTCTGATAAAATGACTGTTTTGCTTATTTTATTTGAATAGATCCAATGGCAAGCCTTATTGATTGCTAATAATTCTGCTTGAAATATTGAGCAACATTTGTGTAATTTAAATTTTTTGACTATTTTTCTCCCATCTGGGCTATGGACTACAAATGCTGCTCCAACATTTCCATCAGTTTTGCTACCATCAGTGTATATTTGGTAAATGTCTGGAGGTACATGTTCTACTATATGTTCATATTTTGAAGCTATATTGAAATTTATTTTAACTCTATTAGCTGGATGAATAATTGTTGAAGGTTGAGCTGGTCCGTCAAGTGTGATATCTTGAGGTAAAAATTTTGATATTCCTGTTATTCTTGTACTTTCGATTTCAGCAGTTTCTAAAATTTTTGCAGGCAAGGGTATTAGGTTAGCTAGTGAAATGGACGCTGCTGTACTAAGGGTTCGGAATCCGCGTACTATTTTTATGGCAAAACCTCTTTGTAGCGACAGAAGTTTTTTCCGGACACATTCAAATTTTATTGCATCGTGCCATATGCTAGAAGCATAGCAGATGATTGGCTCTATTACTTGTTTGTATATTGTGTCTATATTATCTCCATGTAAACCCCACGTAGGTCTGACAAATCTAATGAGTTTTTGATATATATTTTGCGCTTTATCAATGACGGATTTAATATGTTGAGTGAAATTCAGTTTTTTATCAATGATAATGCCAAGGAGCTTTATTGTATTTTTAAAATGTACAGGATGGTTATTAATTTTTATTATGCTTTTCTCAGCTTTTCTAGTGAATGCTATTGCCTGCGTCTTTTGAGGTCCGAATGTCAATTTTGTGTTGAATCCCCAGTTGGTGATCATCTCTAAAGCTTGGTTGGTTTTGTTCTGTAGCACTTCTAAATTTTTGTCATGAACAATGAGCGTCACATCATCCGCGAATGCTTGTATGTGACACCCTCCTGGTAGTTTACATTCTAAAAGTTCATCCAAGATCAGATTCCAACAAGTTGGTCCACAAACTGATCCTTGAATGCAGCCGCGTGTGAGTGTCTTTGTAGCTGAGCTATCTGCAAAATCAATCTGCGCTTTCCTATCTTGAACATAGCTAAGCATTATATCGTATAAATTTTTAGGACAATTGATTTTGTGCAGTCTTTTGAAGATTAATGGCCACCAAGCATTGTTGAACGCCGCTTGTATGTCCAACGAGATAGCTATGACATGTTCATTGTTTGATTTGGATTGTTTAACTGTATCTATTACTTTCTTTAAGGCATGTACGGTACTAGTTTGTTCTTTAAATCCATATTGGTTATTGCATGCAAAATTATTACTGTTAATGTGGTGTGTGATTCTTTGAATTATCAATTTTTCCAATAGCTTTCCAAAAACGTTTATTAATCCTATAGGTCGGTAAGCGGCAGTGTCGTAGTAGTCAGATTTGTTTGGTTTTGGTATTATTTTGATGTATGCTTTCTTCCATATTTTCGGGAAATATTTTAGCTCCAAACATCTGTTCATTATTGAAGTGACCATTGAAGGATACAATTTCGCAAACATTAGGCAAATGTCTGACGTTAGATGATCGGGCCCTGGTGACTTGTTAGGATTCATAACTTTAAGGCAGTCCAAGATCTCTTCAGTGGTAAATAACGGGTCGGAAGTTGTCTCTGGAGAGATTTCCATGAGTAACCTTGCTTCACGCTGTTGTTCTGTCACATCAGGTGTATCATCGGGGAAGTATTCATTTAGAAATACATTTGCCGCCTCGGTAGTATTTACAGTGTAACAACCGTTTTTTAATTTTACTGTCGATGGTGGTTGAGTTAAAGGTTTAGTTTTAAGTAATTTATTGGTCAGTGACCAGACATCATCTTTGCCCTGTTTGTTACAGAATTCTTTAAAATTCGAGATGGAGGCGTTTTTTAATGCTTCAGTATACTCCGCTTTCAATTTGTTACGCTCATCAAGTGCTTCCGTAAGTGATAGGCCTCGACGCTTGAGTTGATGAATTGTGTGGTGTTTTTTTATGAGCTCCTTTTTCATATTCTCTAATTCTGTGGACCACCAAGGGTTTTGTGATTTTTTGCTTCGAGCACGAGGCAAAATTAGATCGCATGCATTTTGTATTGCAAGTGTCATGTTAACTATAAAACTTTCTAGTTGCACTGTATCTAATTTATTTATATTATCTTGTATTGGAAGGGCTTTTTCAATTTCTTTTTTGAATATTTCTTCTATTGTGTCCCAATTTATGCGGGTAGTGTGGTATCTATAAGTTGACAGTTTTTTATTTTTCTTTATGCTATGATCATCTAAAAGTAATTTAAATTCAATACCATTATGATCTGAAGAGGGGCATATTTCAAGATTAACTTTCCAATCAATAACATGGTTTACTAGGGAGTTACTGGTTAGTGTAAGGTCAATAATTGAGTCTCTGTGTACACCATGTGTAGTAGTTTCAAAAGTGGGCGTATTGCCCTGATTGCAAACTTCTAGGTCATTAGTATGTATAAAATTGGCTATTGTGTTCCCTCTTTTGTTATTTAATTTGGAGTTCCAGAGGCAGTGCCAGCCGTTGAAGTCACCTCCAATTATGTGACGCGCATCTTTAGTTTTCTCTAGAAATAGTTTGAGTTGATTCATGGTATCATATATATCGCTACGTGGTTCTATATATACACTAAGGAGGTAGATATGTTTGCCGGCCTTGTTTATTTGTACTATGGAACAGTTAGAGTTGGAGTATTCTGAGATTCCAAGAGTGCTAAATGAATTTTCTTTTATTAATATGCAAGCTTTAACAGGTCTATTTGATGGGAACTGGTATATTTTGTATCCATCAACTTTTTTCATTAAGTTTGTTTCTCCCAAATAGGGTTCATTTATAAGGGCCACATGAATGTCATTTTCGCTCAAAAATATAGCAAGCTCGTGCTGCGCTTCCTTGCAGCGTCCAAGATTGCATTGTACAAAATTGATAAAATTAAGATTTTTAACACATTCCTTTCGATTAATATGCTGATTTCGTTGAGTTTGAGATGAGTTTCGTAGGATAATTTTCTTATTGGGCTTAATATCCATAATCGGTTTTTTCAATAGCACGTGCAATCATAGTACGGACGGTGGGGCAAGTATTTGATGTAGCGGAATGTTTTGTGTCTCTAGTGGTTTTGTGTTTTTGATTGTAAGTATTACAGTTAATGCAACACAGCTGAGCTTCATTATTTTTATTTGGGCAGTTGACGAAAGTGTGTGTCTGAGATGCGCAGTGGGAACACGGTTGCGTATCTGATGTACAAAATTTCTTAATATGACCGAACTGTAAGCATTTAAAACATTGAAGATGAGCTGAGAACTGTTCAACATATATTTTTTGGTGATCAATATTGACGCGTTCCATTTTGATTACATTTTTCCAAATTGGGGGTGTTACAATAAGTACAGCATTATATAAGTCATTATTTTTGTTTTTACGTTGAAATCGTAGGACAATGTCAGTATCGGTTTGAGCTAAATCATTAATTGAAGGGTTCTGTCGCTTGAAAATATCCACCAGTTCGTCAACTGGGACGTCTTTTGAAATTCCTTTCAGTTGAATCATCGGTCGCAATTTTTTAGCAGCTTGAACAGTCACTTTGCTTTCGTTTTCATTTATATTTTTAATTACATAATCTCTTTGTTCAGCAGTATCGAATTCAACACACAACTTAGTGTTAGACAAGGGTGTTACTTTGGATGGAGCAAATGTGGTGTTTTTAAAAGAAAAACTTTTGCGCCAGGCCTCCACGGTTTCCTTCTTGTTTTCTGTTTTGGCAGTTACAATGAGGGCGTGTTTGGTGCGTCGCTGCTCGGGAGCTTTCTGGATAGCAGGAGTTGATTTTACAATATGGGCATAAGAGGGCTGTTTTAGTTCTGTTTTTAATATCGCTATCTCTTCTTTAATGCACCCCTTAATAATACTCTGAATTTGTCCACTGTCAGTACTTCCAGAACTAGCTTCAATACGGGTTGATAATTGCATTATTTCATTGGCCATATTAATAATGCTACTTTTCCTTTCAGCTGTAACACTTTTACCATTTTGAATGCAGGTGATAATGTCCTTGGCCAGCTGAGAGATGTTTTGTGCAGCTGTAAAACTCTGACTGACAGCTACATCCATACCAGTGATTTCAGGCTGGGACATCATAGTAAAATGTAAAAAAAATTTTTGAAACAAGACTAAGAATTAACCTAATTAATGAAAACTGGAAGGGTGGAAGGGAGATTTTCTTTAATGCCGTGTGTTTTATTTTGCCGATATAAGTGCAGTTGGCAGTTTACACAGACGGACCTAATAAAATCAAAAAGAGCTAAATAAACGAAGACTTGAAAAAGTTTAAAATTTTATCAATTTACTACTATAAGTAAACCGAATATTATGAAAATCAATTATTTAAACGTGAAACTTAATAAAGAAAACTATGTGGAAATACAAAGTGGATTAAACTACACTATGTAAAAGAAATTCTAAATGAAAAAGACGTAAAATAATTATTATTTCTATGAGAAGTATGAAAATCTACTTAAGTAATGAAAACCGGGAGGGAGGGAGGGAGGGCGATTTTCTCTAATTCTGTGTATTTTATTTTGCAGATTTAAGTGCAGTTGGCAGTTTCTACACGTAGCGGACCTTACTGAAGCAAAATGAGCAAAATAAACGAAGATTTGAAAAAAATTAAAAATTTATTGAAAATACGTCTATAAGAAAACGAATTATTTGAAAATTTACAATTTAACTGTGAAAATGGTATAAAAAAACTACAAGGAATTATAGGGGGCAATTAAATACACTATTTAAAGAAAATTTGAACAGAAAAGACCTATTTTCAGCAAAGTTACAGATGAATTTATGTTTTTGTTTATATATTTTCAACTATAAATGAATGAAAAACGTGAAAATTAATTATATAACAGTAAAAATTTACTAAAAAAACTATAGGGTAATATGAAGAACAATTAGTTGTACTATTAAGAAAAAATTTGAACAAAAAAGACGAAGTTTTAGGAAAGTTATAAGCTAAGATATGGTTGAATTTAAGTATTTGTATCGATTAACCACTATACCTCGGTTTAGGTAAGTGTCGATTTTCTCTAATTCTGTGTATTTTATTTTGCAGATTTAAGTGCAGTTGGCAGTTTCTACACGTAGCGGACCTTACTGAAGCAAAATGAGCAAAATAAACGAAGATTTGAAAAAAATTAAAAATTTATTGAAAATACGTCTATAAGAAAACGAATTATTTGAAAATTTACAATTTAACTGTGAAAATGGTATAAAAAAACTACAAGGAATTATAGGGGGCAATTAAATACACTATTTAAAGAAAATTTGAACAGAAAAGACCTATTTTCAGCAAAGTTACAGATGAATTTATGTTTTTGTTTATATATTTTCAACTATAAATGAATGAAAAACGTGAAAATTAATTATATAACAGTAAAAATTTACTAAAAAAACTATAGGGTAATATGAAGAACAATTAGTTGTACTATTAAGAAAAAATTTGAACAAAAAAGACGAAGTTTTAGGAAAGTTATAAGCTAAGATATGGTTGAATTTAAGTATTTGTATCGATTAACCACTATACCTCGGTTTAGGTAAGTGTCGATTTTCTCTAATTCTGTGTATTTTATTTTGCAGATTTAAGTGCAGTTGGCAGTTTCTACACGTAGCGGACCTTACTGAAGCAAAATGAGCAAAATAAACGAAGATTTGAAAAAAATTAAAAATTTATTGAAAATACGTCTATAAGAAAACGAATTATTTGAAAATTTACAATTTAACTGTGAAAATGGTATAAAAAAACTACAAGGAATTATAGGGGGCAATTAAATACACTATTTAAAGAAAATTTGAACAGAAAAGACCTATTTTCAGCAAAGTTACAGATGAATTTATGTTTTTGTTTATATATTTTCAACTATAAATGAATGAAAAACGTGAAAATTAATTATATAACAGTAAAAATTTACTAAAAAAACTATAGGGTAATATGAAGAACAATTAGTTGTACTATTAAGAAAAAATTTGAACAAAAAAGACGAAGTTTTAGGAAAGTTATAAGCTAAGATATGGTTGAATTTAAGTATTTGTATCGATTAACCACTATACCTCGGTTTAGGTAAGTGTCGATTTTCTCTAATTCTGTGTATTTTATTTTGCAGATTTAAGTGCAGTTGGCAGTTTCTACACGTAGCGGACCTTACTGAAGCAAAATGAGCAAAATAAACGAAGATTTGAAAAAAATTAAAAATTTATTGAAAATACGTCTATAAGAAAACGAATTATTTGAAAATTTACAATTTAACTGTAAAAATGGTATAAAAAAACTACAAGGAATTATAGGGGGCAATTAAATACACTATTTAAAGAAAATTTGAACAGAAAAGACCTATTTTCAGCAAAGTTACAGATGAATTTATGTTTTTGTTTATATATTTTCAACTATAAATGAATGAAAAACGTGAAAATTAATTATATAACAGTAAAAATTTACTAAAAAAACTATAGGGTAATATGAAGAACAATTAGTTGTACTATTAAGAAAAAATTTGAACAAAAAAGACGAAGTTTTAGGAAAGTTATAAGCTAAGATATGGTTGAATTTAAGTATTTGTATCGATTAACCACTATACCTCGGTTTAGGTAAGTGTCGATTTTCTCTAATTCTGTGTATTTTATTTTGCAGATTTAAGTGCAGTTGGCAGTTTCTACACGTAGCGGACCTTACTGAAGCAAAATGAGCAAAATAAACGAAGATTTGAAAAAAATTAAAAATTTATTGAAAATACGTCTATAAGAAAACGAATTATTTGAAAATTTACAATTTAACTGTGAAAATGGTATAAAAAAACTACAAGGAATTATAGGGGGCAATTAAATACACTATTTAAAGAAAATTTGAACAGAAAAGACCTATTTTCAGCAAAGTTACAGATGAATTTATGTTTTTGTTTATATATTTTCAACTATAAATGAATGAAAAACGTGAAAATTAATTATATAACAGTAAAAATTTACTAAAAAAACTATAGGGTAATATGAAGAACAATTAGTTGTACTATTAAGAAAAAATTTGAACAAAAAAGACGAAGTTTTAGGAAAGTTATAAGCTAAGATATGGTTGAATTTAAGTATTTGTATCGATTAACCACTATACCTCGGTTTAGGTAAGTGTCGATTTTCTCTAATTCTGTGTATTTTATTTTGCAGATTTAAGTGCAGTTGGCAGTTTCTACACGTAGCGGACCTTACTGAAGCAAAATGAGCAAAATAAACGAAGATTTGAAAAAAATTAAAAATTTATTGAAAATACGTCTATAAGAAAACGAATTATTTGAAAATTTACAATTTAACTGTGAAAATGGTATAAAAAAACTACAAGGAATTATAGGGGGCAATTAAATACACTATTTAAAGAAAATTTGAACAGAAAAGACCTATTTTCAGCAAAGTTACAGATGAATTTATGTTTTTGTTTATATATTTTCAACTATAAATGAATGAAAAACGTGAAAATTAATTATATAACAGTAAAAATTTACTAAAAAAACTATAGGGTAATATGAAGAACAATTAGTTGTACTATTAAGAAAAAATTTGAACAAAAAAGACGAAGTTTTAGGAAAGTTATAAGCTAAGATATGGTTGAATTTAAGTATTTGTATCGATTAACCACTATACCTCGGTTTAGGTAAGTGTCGATTTTCTCTAATTCTGTGTATTTTATTTTGCAGATTTAAGTGCAGTTGGCAGTTTCTACACGTAGCGGACCTTACTGAAGCAAAATGAGCAAAATAAACGAAGATTTGAAAAAAATTAAAAATTTATTGAAAATACGTCTATAAGAAAACGAATTATTTGAAAATTTACAATTTAACTGTGAAAATGGTATAAAAAAACTACAAGGAATTATAGGGGGCAATTAAATACACTATTTAAAGAAAATTTGAACAGAAAAGACCTATTTTCAGCAAAGTTACAGATGAATTTATGTTTTTGTTTATATATTTTCAACTATAAATGAATGAAAAACGTGAAAATTAATTATATAACAGTAAAAATTTACTAAAAAAACTATAGGGTAATATGAAGAACAATTAGTTGTACTATTAAGAAAAAATTTGAACAAAAAAGACGAAGTTTTAGGAAAGTTATAAGCTAAGATATGGTTGAATTTAAGTATTTGTATCGATTAACCACTATACCTCGGTTTAGGTAAGTGTCGATTTTCTCTAATTCTGTGTATTTTATTTTGCAGATTTAAGTGCAGTTGGCAGTTTCTACACGTAGCGGACCTTACTGAAGCAAAATGAGCAAAATAAACGAAGATTTGAAAAAAATTAAAAATTTATTGAAAATACGTCTATAAGAAAACGAATTATTTGAAAATTTACAATTTAACTGTAAAAATGGTATAAAAAAACTACAAGGAATTATAGGGGGCAATTAAATACACTATTTAAAGAAAATTTGAACAGAAAAGACCTATTTTCAGCAAAGTTACAGATGAATTTATGTTTTTGTTTATATATTTTCAACTATAAATGAATGAAAAACGTGAAAATTAATTATATAACAGTAAAAATTTACTAAAAAAACTATAGGGTAATATGAAGAACAATTAGTTGTACTATTAAGAAAAAATTTGAACAAAAAAGACGAAGTTTTAGGAAAGTTATAAGCTAAGATATGGTTGAATTTAAGTATTTGTATCGATTAACCACTATACCTCGGTTTAGGTAAGTGTCGATTTTCTCTAATTCTGTGTATTTTATTTTGCAGATTTAAGTGCAGTTGGCAGTTTCTACACGTAGCGGACCTTACTGAAGCAAAATGAGCAAAATAAACGAAGATTTGAAAAAAATTAAAAATTTATTGAAAATACGTCTATAAGAAAACGAATTATTTGAAAATTTACAATTTAACTGTGAAAATGGTATAAAAAAACTACAAGGAATTATAGGGGGCAATTAAATACACTATTTAAAGAAAATTTGAACAGAAAAGACCTATTTTCAGCAAAGTTACAGATGAATTTATGTTTTTGTTTATATATTTTCAACTATAAATGAATGAAAAACGTGAAAATTAATTATATAACAGTAAAAATTTACTAAAAAAACTATAGGGTAATATGAAGAACA